CCCCCTTCCTCCATCTAGAGGCCCTGTGTCCAGGACAGTCAAGAACCCCTTCTTCCTAAGGCCTGGTGCCATTTGGGGTGGAGGGGGCAGCATCAACACAGAAAGAGCCCTGAGCCGTGCAGGTGCAAAGGCTCCCTCCTTTAGCTTCGTGAGCATACACGCACACAGAGAGATGTGTGTACCCACATGCACATGTGCATACAACACACATGAGTTCACCCAGACACACGTGCACACACAGAGACAGAGAGAAAGCAGAGGGTGTGTGTTTGGAGGGTGGCGTGGCGAGGTGGTACTTGAACTAGTGAACTTTATGAGAACAGAAGGAGCTGGGTTTGTCCTCTGTGGATTGTGAGCAGTTCAGACAGGAACACATAGATGGGCGTTGCTCCAGGCGAGGGGCAGCGGTGAGGACTGGGATGGATGAACCTTACCCGTCCCCTCTCCCAGGTCCCTGGCCGCTGCTGTGGGCTGAGCACAGAACCAGCCATCCCCTGCCCCCCTACCATGCCCTGCCCACCAAGGGCAGGACTGCAGCCCCAGTCCCTGGCTTACTGGGCAGCAGAGCGAAGGCAGGCAGGTACTCGGCTGTGAGCATAGGTGCAGGCAGCTGCCGGAGGAATCTTTTCAGCAGATCAGCGGCATCGTTGGGATGGAGCTTGGCCCAGTCAAAGAGGCCTGCATAGAAGTCACTCTCCAGCTTCTGCTCCAGCCCCTGGGAGACCGGGAACTTTTAGCCATCTCCTGAGGGCCTTAGGGAATGCTAAGGGCACCTCCCTGGTAGGGTTGACCCCAAGGATCAAATGGCCACGGAGGACAGGCTGAGCAGGGGCATGGCTTGCAGTGTCCAGATTATGTGTCTTTGCCGCCTCATGTGAGTGCCTGGAATAGGGCGGCTTTAAATCGCACCCCTCCAATTTCAAGATGAAATAGCTGCCTGGTATCTCAGTCAAGCACCTCCCACATCATGGTATCCTGGGATGTCATTCTGTGCCCCCTCCCCTGGTGCCGCCTGGACTTGTACCCCAGAGCCCAGTATCTCTCTGCCCACACCAATGTCTGCCTGTTGAGGGCACCGGGACATACAGGGCCTATAGACACTCCTCCTTGACACCCTCCACATGCGTGCGTGCCTGCCAGACCTACCACAAGCCAGTCTTAGGGGCACACTGTCACCCCCCTGCCCTTCCAAGCCCTCCAGAACCCCACAGCCAGACAGAGACTCGGGGCAGAACCCTGACAAGCCCTAGCCGGGATTCTCTCTCAGGTCTCCAGCTCTGCGTGGGCCTAGAGGCCCGGGAGATGTAGCCACCACGAGGGAGAGGATACCAAGGCTTACCTTGAGCCTGGCCTGGGATCCTGGCACCCTGAGGATGCCTTCCATGTCCAGCCCTTTGCTTTCCAAACAGGACAGCAGCTTGGAGAGAGAGAGAGAAGAAAACAACTTTGCCAGCAGCCATGATCCCAAACCCCAAACTCGAACTTACTCCCCTTGAGTGGCTTCTGACTCACAGTGACCCGACAGGACAGGGTAGAACTGCCCCTGTGGGTTTCCCAGACTGCAAACCCTTATGTAAACCCTATGAGAGAGAAAGCCTTGTCTCTCACCCCACCCCAAGGACAAGTGCTGAGTTCAAACTGCTGGCCTTGCAGTTAGAAACCTGATGATACCCAAGCACGACACCACCAGGGCCCCTGTTGCGATTCCAAAGTGGGGTTCAAACCAGAGCATCTGCTGCCCGTGGAAACCCAGCAAGAGGGCTTCCTTCTTGCTTCAAAGAGGCATGACAGCTTTCTGGACCATTTGCATGAGCCAAACGTTGTGTGGCCAGCTTTACATGCATGACTGTCTCATTGAGGACGACAATATTGTTATTAGTAAGCCCTCTTGACAGATGTTGACAGGGATGTGCACCAGGATTCAGTAATTCCAGGAGCAACTGTAAGAGCCAGGATTCAAACCAAGGTCTCCCTGGGTTCCCTAGAACCCTTCTATGACCCCTGTGCTATGCACCTCCCAACAGTGGGGTCTCTCAAAAGGCCCTGAGAGCCTCAAGTAAGGGGCAACTTACAGCTTGAAGGACCAGTGGAACCTGGGTGCCGGGGACGAGTTTGCGGTCGGCTTCCAGCAAGGCATCAAGGGGCACACCGAAAAGGCGCGTTTCTACAGGAAGTCAAGAGGGCAAAGGAGAGCTCACCTCCTGGAATCCCAAGTGGGCTCTAAGCAGAATGAGCTCATGGGCAGATGGACTGCAATCTTTGTCCCTTGTAAAGGCTGGGAACTCCCTGGAGAGTAGCCGCGCCCAAACATCTCCACATCCCTTGAGAAGAACATTTTGCTTTAACAATAAACAATGCTTTGGATGTACCACAGAGCAGAAACCCCAGCTGGATGGAGAATTCTGGATCCAATGGGTCACAGCCATCTGAGATGGAGCATTTAGCCCTGCATCCATGGGCCCTGCTGCTAAGACATACGTTTTCCAGGTCTCCTCAACCATCTTGTCTTTGGGTCTTCTCTGGAAAACCCCTCTTTTCAAATCTTTCCTACAACCTTCTTTCTCCCCCCAGCACCTGCCTATCACCGTCTCAGCTAGATTTCTAGTCCTACTCACCTAATTAATTTTACGTTTTATCTGGCCAGAAAGAAAATCATAACACACATTGTTGACAAGGATGTGAGTTGAACACCCTCAGACACTATTGCATACACCTACTCTTTACTTCCATCACTTCTCTATCACGTTGTCATACTGTGGTGGCTTGTGGGTTGCTGTGATGCTGGAAGCTATGCCACTGGTGTTTCAAATACCAGCATGGCCACCCATGAAGTGGGTAGGCTTCAGCTGAGCGTCCAGGTTAAGGATGCGTTAGGAAGAAGGAGGAGGCAGCCTTTTCCTAAGAGTGTCAGAAGTGGCCCTATACGCAGGATGGAAATGCCTCTGTGAATGTCCAAGACTGTGACACTTTATGGGAGCAGATAGTCTTGGTTTTTCTCCTTTGGAGCAGGTGGTGGTTTCAAACCACAGACCCTGAGGATTGCAGCCTGATGCATAACCACCATGCCACCAGGGCTCCTCCTAAGAGGCTGGCTGCTGCGAGTCATATGAATGAATAGCAGTGGAACGTTATCCAATATTGTGCCAGAATATGAGGCCTTCATGTGAGAAACCAGAGGAAACCAGGCTCATTGTCAGAGCAGCCTCATCAAAGTAGAGTTGACCTAATAGCTTGAATAGAGCAAAGCTTTGGGGATTTCCATTTGCTGATGTGGCATGAGTCAAAATGAGAAGAAACAGCTGCAAATATCCATGAGTAATCAGAACACTACGGAATGGGCAAAAGAAGAAATCTAGAAGAACGGGAAGTTATCAAAATGAAATGGAACACACAAAGGTTGATATCCCAGGCACTGGTGAGCTGCCATGGACCAGTGTGGGCCGATTTGAATCAGATAGTTGTGGCTTACTATTCTGGAAACTGTGCTGGGATGACGAATTCAACAGAAATGGCATCACATTCATCATCCAAAAGAATATTTCAAAATCGGTCTTGAATTACAACGCTGTCTGCGATAGGATAATAGCTCTAGGCCTACAAGAAAGACCCGTTAATACAATTATCATTAAAATGTGCCTAGCATCCACGGAAGCCAGTGATGAACCCAACACAGAAGTCTACCGACTTCTTTCGTCTGAAATTGAGCAAACAATCAAGATGCACTGATGATTACTGGCAATTGGAATCTAAACGTTGGAAATTTGAGCATCAGTCGCTGGAAAATATTACTTTGGTGATAGAAATGAAGCTGGGGATTGCACGATAGACCACTGACTTCCTCACGGGGAACACTTTTCCAACAACACGAATGGTGGTTCTGTGTGTGGACCTTGCCAGGTGGGATACACAGGAAGCAAACTGACTACCACTGTGGGTTGCGACGGTGGGGAAGCACAGTCCCATCAGCCCACACAAAGCTGGCTGTGGAACAGATCATCAATCACTCATATGCAAGTTCAAGTTGAAGCTGGAAAAAAAATTAAAACAAGTTCACGAGAGCCAAACAATAAACTTGGGTATTTTCCATCTGAATTTGGAGACGATTTCAAAGATGTATTGAACACTAAGGGCCAAGACCAATGAGCTGTGGGATGACATGAAGGCCATCACACCCGAAGAAAGTAACATGTCCCTACAAGGACAGGAAAGAATGAAAAGAGCAAAGAGGATGTTAGAGAAGACTCTGAAACTTGCTCTTGAGTGTAGCGTACCTAAAGCGAGTGGATGAAATGATGACGTCCGAGAGCCGAAAGAAAAATAGCAAGGAGCACCTTGAGAAGATGAAATAAACCTTTCTAATGAAGTGCATAAAGACCTGGAGTCAGTAAACCAAAAGGGAAAGAAAGAGCTCAAGCTGAAAGAACTGAAGACAAATGTTCAAGCCTTGAGTTGTGCTATTGAAGGATCCTGTGAGCCAAATATGGACCAATGTGGGACGTGTCAAAAGAAGATGGAAGGAATACACAGGTCACTGTACCCAAAGGAACTGGTGAACATTCAGTCATTTCAAAAGGTAGCATACAATCAAGAATCATCAGGGGCTTAGGTGGAGAGCAAATGTTTTGAGAATGATGAGGGCAATGAATGTACAAATGTGCTTTACACAATTGATGTATGTATGGATTG